TTTTGCTGTACTAGGCCTAAAGAACATCTTGGAGGATTCTTCAAAATCCAGATGTCTCCAAGGTCCTGCGTGCTTTCCAGAGTTCTGGTAGCTGGAGGAAGCATTGGTGCTGCATTTAAATGGCAGTGGCAGTCTGGCATGTTGGTCTGTGCTTTGTGGGAGTGCTGCCATCAGGGTCCCTGTCAGCTGTTCATAAGACCAAAACCCAATGTACTGACTGTAAGATTTTCATGCCCAAAGGGCTCAGAGGAGGGCAGGTAAGAAAAGGCAGTTGGTATGGAGAAACCAGAGCTCTCAGCTTCCAGGTGTTTGCTCTTTCCCTGTCTTTTCAGTGGGAATTGAGATGGTGGGGAACATAAACCCCAGCTGTCAATGAATCTGCTCTGGCTGCATTTCCCAGTGCTCTGTCCCTGGAGCAGCAGCTGGGGTCACTGAACCCTCCTTGGGTTCAAAGGACACTGCTGGCCCTGATTCCAGTCAGTGTTCAAAGTCTCAAACAGAGCTGCTTCCGTCCCTCCTGCCAGCCAGGCTTCCTCATTGGCCAAAAATGGGGCTTTTGAGCACTCATCTGTCCAACTTCAGCCAGTGAAAGTGTGGGAGATTCAAATCCTATTGGCCAGGCAACAGGAGCAGAGTGAGGAGATCTGGGATCAGCACTAACCAGGGTATCTCCTGGACACTGTGCCCAGTAGTGACAGCTTTCTGTACAAATCCCTGCTGACTCCTTCCAGTGGAGCCTTGTCTTAAGGCTTCCTCCACCTTCTAAAGCGGGTGGGGATTTTCATGCCCTGTTTTGGGGGTGTGGAAGCTGATTCTCCAGTTCCCCCACAGGCATGGGAGGCTGTGGCACAAAGCATGGGGAGTGTCCTGGAGCCAGCAGTGTGATGAGTCCTGCTCCCTGTGCTGTGCCAGCTTCCTGCTTGGTGTAGGAAGCACCACTTGGAGATTCTGCAGGCTGTAAATCAGAGATTCTGCCCACTGCAAATCAGGTGGAAATGATAAGCTGAAAGTCTGAAACTTTCTCTCTCCTGTTCCCAGAACAGCTTTCGAGTTTGACTCCTAAGGACTGTCCCCACCTCCTTCTGCAAGCAATATCGGGGCCCCTTGCAGCTGCCACAGCCTCCACTCTCACCAACCCCATGGATGTGGTGAGGGCTCGGGTGCAGGTAAGAGCTCAGCCTGTTTGGCACTCAGCAGGGTGGGGTTCAGCCTGGGCCCTCTCATCTCTGTGGTTTCAGGTGAGCTGTTTCCCTTCTCTCCCTGGGCCTTTCATCCTGGGTAGCAGCTGCTTAATTAACCCTCAGCATTAACAAGAAGAGCCCAGGCTGGCAGTGCCAGCCTGGCCTGCTCAGACAGGCTTTCCCTTCAGAAAGGGAGAGGTGCTTCCTGCTGCCTCCTTGGGACTTTGTGCTTTTTTTGCTGCCCTCCTCAGGGAGTTCTGGAGATCAGATCAATGCTGTCAGACTGGCTGATCTGTTGTCTCCAGAGTGTTCAGTTGCAGCAGAGCCCCAGAGCAGCTCAGCATGGAGTCTGGCAGCTCTGGCAATGTTTGTTCTGCCATTGCAGGTGGAAGGCAAGAGCTCCATCATTCTCACCTTCAAACAGCTCATTGCAGAGGAAGGTCCCTGGGGGCTGACCAAAGGCCTCTCTGCCCGCATCATCTCGGCCACTCCTTCCACCATCGTCATCGTGGTGGGCTATGAAACGCTGAAGAAGCTGAGCCTGCGCCCAGAGCTGGTGGACTCAAGGCACTGGTAGAGGCAGCTGGGGGAGGAGAACCTTCCTGAGAACTCTCTGAGTTTGGACTCTTGCAGGGGAGAGCCTGGGATGCCGCGCAGCTGCTGCGCCTTTGTCTCCGGCTGGTTTCACAGCACAAGGCAGATGCAAAAGCAGCTGCACTTCACCTCTTTAGATCTGAGTGTCATGCAATGGTTCTGCTGCTGGTTTCGCTTCAACTGTGACCTTTGGCAGTGCTCTTTGCCTGGAACAGTCCATTCCAGGTGTGGGAATGCATCCTGGCAAGTTAGTAATTCCTTTTTTTTTTTAAATTAAAGACTTACTGGCTTAAGCAAAAAGCCAGTTTATTCTCTTTAAATTATTTTCATCTTTGCCAAACTTCCAAGGAGTCTCACAGCCTGCAGCAGGACCCTCTGCTGGGATGTCTCTAGTGGCAGTTGTGCTGTGGGAAGCTGGAAGCAGAAAACAGACAAGTGACTTTCTCCAATGATCTGCTTTTATTTCTAGAAGATGTGAGACAAGAGTAACCTGGAACCACTTCAGACCTGATTTCCTGCGTTTTGAATAGATCTACATACTTGTTTTGTATATTCTTGGAAAAAGTTCCCTGTCTCTCATCCTCCAAACAGCAAGCTGGCTGACAGCAAGTGGGGAGCTGAGCTGGCTGTTTGGAATTAGCTGATGGCAGTTTTGACACCTAACCTGTGTTTTTAATCTGTTGTAATTTAATTATTTTTTTTATTTTAGGGAAGCTTATTCTGATTTCTGGGGTACTGAATGGTTGTCCTGTGGCCTCGTTCAGTGTGTCAATCCTGCATGTTCAGAGTGGCTGTGGCCACTTCCCACCTTAGTTAGTTTAAGCCCAGAAATGCAGTTTGGAAGTGTTTGATCGTGGTGCTGCCAGCAGCTGGATGAGAACTGAGTGGGCTTTGAGCTACAATTAGATGGGATGTGGGGAAGGAAAAACCTTGTGCTGGCTTTTGATCCAGTTCAAACCTGACAGGCATGTTTATATTGAATAAGAAGTGATGGTTCACTTCATGAGTTTCAATTCTGCTCTTCCAGTTTGGGAAGGGCAAGGATAATGTTTTGCACAATTGCTGGATCAGAAGCCTGAGCTATGGCCTGTGTATTTTACCAGGTGAAAACTTCAGGGGGATGAAACCAGAGGCTGCTTTTTGGGGAGGGAGGGGGTTGTTTGACTGCACTCTGCTGCTCTTGGTGGTTGAGATTTGCCTTTCATGCTGCCAGCCCACACGTGGTGCTTGTCTGGGGGGGTTGGGGTGCACCTCCATTCCCCTTCTGCCATAACCAGGAATTCTGGTTGAGGTGTTGATCCTGCTGACCCGTGGCTGTTGCTGGGCTCCACTTGGCTGTCTCTTCCTGAGGGACTCACCAAGTGTGGCTCTGCCCTTCATCCCAGTGATGTCCCTGCCTGCTGGAGATGGAGAGTGCTGCAGCTGCTGCTGAGGTGGGAGAGGCTTCTCTGCTTGATTCTAAGGTGCAGTGCTGTGATGGGGCTGTGGGTAGAGCCCTCTTCGTGCCAGTTTTGTTTCTTGCAGTGCTCAGAAAGGCACTGGATGCTGGAGCCACTGGTAGAGTTGTTGGAGCAGCACCTTCTGCACCTGCTCCTGTCACCTGTTTGTTGTTTAAAAGTTGACACCAGTCGGCTCTTGCTCTAATAATAGCTTCTGCTCTGAAAAGCAGAACAACAGCACCCCAAACCACAAGGCAGCCGGATGTTAACGCTGATATGAACAGGAACAATAACGATCAGCCTCTGCCAGGTGCAGCAGGGCCAGTCCCGGTGTGCAGAACGGAGGGGCGGCAGCACCAGTGTGGGGAGACACTGTCAAACTTAATGTTCCTCTCGTAACCAGCAACGTTCTTGACAACTAATAAACTTGAGAGACCTTCAGTTTGGTGCCTGCGTTTAAAAGCACACGATTCTCCACGCATGGGGAAGCTGCTGCTTTTGTCGTGTCACAGGAAGGGTTTCACCCTTAGCCTTTGGACTAGGAGAGGGACGTGAGCTGCCTGAGAACTCAGTGGCTGAGCGAGAACCGCCTGGAGCACTGGAATGCCTGCAAGCAGCCGTGACCCAGAGCCGCCCCCAGGGTGCGGGCTGGCTCCTGCTTGGCTGTTACATGGGAAATGTCTCTTTTTTTATTCTCTAACCGAGCTGAACTTTGTTTCTTTTCTCCTTGAATTCTTCAGGCTTGATCGTTTTATTTCCCTCAAAGTCGCTGGGGGGCAGGGCGGGCACTGGGGAGAGAAGGACGGGTTTGTCTCGCTGCTTCGCTTCGGGGCCGGGCTTCCCGCTCCGGGAGGCGGCAGATTCTTCAAAAACCACGGTGGTTTTTGTTGTGGTTTGGTTCGGACCGGGCGCAGCCCCGCTCCGGGAGGCGGCAGTTTCTCACCGCGGTGTTTTTGTTGTGGTTTGGTTCGGACCGG